TATATATATATATATATATATATATATATATATATATATATATATATATATATATATATATATATAATGTATATAAACCGACCGTAACTGTTATTGTATTGGTTAGCTAGTATTTTTGGATTGTATTGGTCATCTAGTGTTATCTTTTTTAAAGGTATTAGTTTCCCAATAAATCAACTACCACTTTTGCAATAATTGCACTATCAAAATCATATCTGTTCCTTTAAATAAAATCTCAGTAAATTAGGTATCATTGATTTCATACATTTAGTCCACTTTCAATGTGGAGTTTATTTTGGCGTGAAGATGTCCCCCGGTGTTCCAATCAATCCTGGAACACCATTTTCACAACGACTCGACAGGTAATTTTAGTTTCGTGCGAAATTGTCGCATTGTTGAAGGCAGGGCTTATTGCTCCTGTTGGACTTCGTTTTCTTCAGGCATATTCGTAGTGTGTCTGCTTCCAGCAGGTCGATCACTTCTATCGCTTACTACAGTCTTTTTTGGAATCATTATAGTGGTCTCATTATTTCTGGGGGAGTAGTACATTCTCGTTGTTGTGGAATCGTAAAAGTCATAAAAGATCACGTATGTTTCGACAAAGAAAGTAGAATTCCTACAAACTGCTTGTACATCTTGCTTTTCCAATTCTGCATATCGTTTTTGATAGGGAATCATGATTCCTTATTATATAATTGACTATTTCAGTTATAATCTGTAGACAAGAATGCCATACGTCGACTCCAGTAAGTTTTCATATCCCATATTTATTCCGATTCCATCAATCCGAACCTTTAAAGAGAATTCATTCCACTGCTTATAGCCTGCTGAGTGAAAGACTGAGTTAAATTCGAAAGCTGTAATTAAAGGGAAATTAAGTGTTTCACGATTGTTCAGATTTTTCAGTTAAAGTTTGCGTGATTGGTTATCTCCATCCCTCTCTGCCCTCTTTCTAAATTCTACGTCATAACGGAATGGAAATTGAACGGTACTATAGAGAGTTGTGGAATATGTCACCACTTAACATTCTTGCATCCTCTTCCTGGATTCTGTTTTAGATGGAAATATTGTGGAATCGAAAAAGTCGATGTTCAATTTGCTTTGGCAGTTTTTCGCATTTATTTTATATTTGTAAGTTTCCATGGTCTTTTTTGCTCCTTACAATGAAAAACTTTTATAGGAGCATCAATGTGTTGAGGTAGATTGGTTTTTACTGTTTACAGTTTTCATACACTTTTTTGGACCGCTGATTGGTGATGCGGGAGATAGGCGACCGCAACGCAGAAATGATTGGAGTGGTAATAACAGATGGCCTGGAAGTGGTGGTCCGGGTGGGCCTCCGAGAGGTAAGAGTTGTAACATAACGGATATATAGAAGCGTTCAAGTTGCATTGTGTTGTAATTAGATTTTAGACTTCAATTTGCCTTTAGGAACCATTAAGAAAAGATTAATCCAAACCTTTATATTTTAGGTGGTCATGGGTATGGAACAGGTCGGCGTCCTATAGGACGTCCAACATTTCCGTCCGGAATGTCATGTCCCCCGTTGGGTGGTGGCAGTTGAGGTTAAAGTAGGTCCAGCTACGATTTAAGCTGGACAAATGATTGTGACCAACAAGAGGACTGTGTGACGCAGATTGGCCAAACCTTGCCAGAGGAGCTTTTCTGCTGATTTCCACTACTGGTCGCTTTCTTGCTATTTCTTGACTGATGGATCTACGCTAAATTCCCAGTCCTGAATGTCGTTTTATTTGTTCCCCTTCCT